TGCTTGACATCTCATGTTACTCACAGCTCTGAGCTCACTTGGCGACCAGTCCCACTCAGATCAATCCCCCTTCGCTCCTCCTCCTGCCTGGGTCCCCGAGCCCAACCCCACCGGTCTGCCACCTTGCCTCAGGTCCCCTCCATTCTGGAGCACCCCAGCAGCCTTGGTCAGCTTCCATGTTTCTCTTCCTGGTGGCCAGTCCTCCTCACCCCATTTGGGGAAGTGGAGAAAAAGCATGTTCTTGGACACTGCTTAGTGCCCAACATGTGTCCTCTTTGTCCTCCCCCAACACCACCTCTAGGCGAGGGCGTCTCCCAGGGCTTCCCCTAAGAGGCCCAACACACATACGAAAGACATGGGAACCCTTCGGATCTGAGCCTGGTTTTCTTTGAGGACACTGACCCTTCTGTCTCTGTGCATTACCCTCACCTTCACTGAGCATGCTCCAGCCCTCCCTTCCTCCCTCTATCTCCTCCTCCTCCCCCGTCCTCACCTCTCCCCCTCATCCTGCTCTCTTCTCACTCTTCCTCCCTCCTCCCCTTCTTTCCCTTCCTCCTCTTTCCTACTCCTACTCCTCCTCCTCCTCCTTCCTTTATCCTACCCTCCCCTCTTCCCTCCTCCTTCCTCCTCCCCTCTTCCCTCCTCCCTACCTGACCTCCCACAGCAGCTGGAGCTCAGCCTGGCCCACACCGAGGGTCCTGACTGCCTTTACCTTCATTGTGGATGGCAGCCAGGCACATAGACCAGTCTCACCAGAGCAGAGAAGAACATTCCCCCCTCACCCAACACCCCTCAGTCGGCCCGGTCAGCTCCAGGGAGCAGCCACGTTCACTAACAGCGTGATCAGGACCCCCAGGCTGATCGTCTTCCTTTTCACAACGCCAGCGGTCGGCCTAGGGAAGAAGATGCTGGGTCCAGGCTTAGCACAAGATGTGTACATGTGTGAGCTGTGATGACCTCTGAAGTCGGGGTCAGTGTTGTGATTGTTCTAAGTACCTCCCTCCATCCTGGCGCAGCTCCCAGGGGTTCTGGGTGCCAAGCCAGCTCCCGTCTCCTCTGCAGGGATGTCCCCTGGAGGGTCCTGCCTGACCCCTGGGGCGGGGCGCCCTGGAGCCAGGTGTGCAGGAAAAGCAGCCAGATCTCCTGATAGGGTACAGGAAATCTGTGTGGGCTGCAGTGGATAAGGCCCGCCTCAGACATGCATCCTCTCCTAATGGAGGCCGTGAGCCTTTCGGGACCCAGGACAGGGGTCGTCGGGAGAAGCTGGGAGAGGCAGTGCTCAGGGACAAGAAACCTGGGATCAGGACTGTCTGCCTTTCCAGTCAGCTTTGCCAGGGCTCTGGGTGTGGACAGAAGGCCTGGTGCACCAGGCAGCGTGTCCCTTGGGCCAGGACTGCAGTGACCTCCAGCAGTGTGGGGCGAGGAGGGGATGGGGGTGCTGTCAGAGGCCTTGAAACCATAGACACCAAGCATTGGACTGTTAAGGTGGCAGAGCCACCTGTGGTCCAGAGAGAATGAGGCACTAACCCAGAGTCACACAGCGGTCCTGGCAGGACGGGCCCGGACCTGGGTGTGCTGACGCCTCTCCCAGAAACCATCTGTGTGCCCTGAGCTGGCTGTCCCTGACTGATGGCCTAGAGCAGAGATGGCCCGGGCTTCCCTCCACACTGGGAGGCACTCCAGCCCCCTGCATGCGTGAGAAACCTAACCCGGCCGTCTTCTCAGGGCCCCGGGCTTCCGTCCGCTCTCACCTTCCTCTTTATGGAAAAACCCTCGGGTAGATCGGTTCCCATGACCAGGTGCTGCCTGCCCTATGCACACGGGGTGACCTGCCGCAGAAGGGATTGACCTCCTCCAGAAGAGTGGCTCGCTTCCAGGGAAATAGGAGTCACCAGCTGGCCTTCCCATGGCAGGAGGCACTCTGCCCCAGACCCCGTTCTCAGAAGGATTAGGGAGGCTCTCTCCTTGGCCTCTCACCAGACCCTGTGCCCTGGGGGGATGGGGGGGATGGGGGTGGGGAAGACCTGCACTCCCTCCTCATCCACATCCCCCCACCCCCCTGCTGGGCCCCGCCCCTCCACTGCCCTGCCCACTGGGGTCCCAGGTCAGCTTGTGCAGAAAGGGAATAGGAGTCTGTGTTTGTATCTGTGTGGGTCTAGGCATGTCCATGTGAACGTAAGTTGGGAAGAATCTGTGTGTGTCTGGGTGTGTTTCCAGGCTGAGCAAATACAGCGGAATCCCTTTGGCTTTCTCTCCCTAAGAGCAGGGGCCTGGGGCCTCCTTTGTAACTGGTGGGCTCAGACTCCCTTGGCCAGCTGCTTGTCTCACCCCAGGCTGCAGAGGAACCCACGGTGGGGCATGGTCACCTGTCTCTTGTCCCCAAACCTTGAAGCTCACCCTTCTTCGCACAGAGGACATCACTTGGGCTTTCCCTGTGTGTGGGTTTTGGGAGGAAGGTCATTGCTTTTGTGGCTCTGTTGCTTGGAATGGAGAATGAGCGCATCGCGAGTCTGCTGGGATTACATTTGGTGCTGGGGAAACAGAAAGCCCGGCAAGCCTGGCAAGTGGGGATGTATCCTTCTGGACCAAGAAGTGCAGAGGGGGCTGTCTGGAGAGGGTGAGGGTCTCCGTGATGCCCTGAGAGAGCAGGTCCTTACCGCCTCCCCTCCTCTGGGGCTCTCCGGGGCAGCCCGCGGTCTTGACCTCCATGGTCTGGCAGACCCCATAGGAGGGCGGGGACCCGAGGCGACGATGTGTGAGAGCATGTGGATGCCCTCACATGTTCCCAGGTATCCGGGCGATGGCGTTGTGCCCGGAGGTGACCTGAGTAGACTTCTGAGGCCCCCCGTCCCCCCTTTAGCACCCCGATAGCTTCTCTTCCCGGAACGGTGAGTTTTCATGGAAGCCCAACCATCCTGGCTTGCCGCCTCTGTCAGACCAGCCGAAGGGGACGGGGGCTCACAGTCTCTGCGAAATCTGGGGAGAAAGATGGGAAACCCAGCAGCAAAGCACCCCCTTCTTTAATCAAAGGACGGGCCCAGAGGATGTGTCATCTTCCTGCCATTGCTGAGGATGGCCCTCGTCCCCAGCCGATGTCAGCTGGCGCCTGTCCCCCCAACCCCGCCCCACGTCTCGCCAGCCCTGGCAACTCACAGGTCACCAGCTACAAGGGGCCACAGGCCAGGACCATGCCACCCTCAGCAGCCCCCTGAGATTCTGCTCTGCATGGCTCCTGCTTCGGGAAAGGTGACCTGTGCCGCTGGGAGACTTGGCTTTCACCCCTCGGAGCCCGAGCATCCTTCAGTGACCTCCTCGCAGCCAAGTGCAAGGATCCAGAAGTTACTGGCACACAGCTGTATTCCGTCAGCGCGGAGGGGAGGAGGTCTTGGCACGAATCAGAGCGTTACCAGCAGGCTTGCAAAGCAGGCCACGGGAGGTCATCTGGCATGGGCCTCAGGAGTGCACATCCGCCCGGCGCCCTGTGGCCCCCACTGGGCTTGGGACAGCGAGGTCCCATGCTGTGGCCCTTTGCTTTCACGTGGCCGCCTTAGAGACGCTGCCCAGGGCCCGATCCCCCTTCCCACCGCAGGAGCGGGGTTTCGGGGCACAGGGGAAGGTCATGCCCTCCGGACATGCCCTCCTCCCAGCAGCATCCTCAGCCTCGGTCCAGACTCAAGTTTGACAAAACCTCACGTTCCTCTCCTTTCTGCCTCCCGCTTCCGACTTCTCCTCTTCGGCACTCGGGAACCCCGGGCCAGCTTCGGGGGCAGAGGGAGGCAAGTTCTCACCGGCAGTCTTGCGCTCACCGAGCAGTGCTGGCTGGACGCTGTGCTGGCACTTCTTTGTGTTGGAGGGTTTTCCCCCATTTGGAGCAGAAACACTTAGCAGCTTCCTGCAGACGGCTCTCCCCCAACACCCTCCCGCCTCCGCACCCCACACCCAGGCTTCCCTGGGGAAGGGGGTGGGCAGCAGAGGGAGAGGCTGCATGTCTGCCTCGCCCCCCGCCCCCTGAGCGCACCTCTGGATTCCGGGAAGCGGGAGTGGGCCGGGAACGCGGTCGCCCTGTCCGTGTGGGCACAGCTCCTCTTGCCCGAGCCGCCCGGGCTTGGTGGGCGCCTTGGTTGCTTGGGCTCCTGGAACAAAACCCCACAGATGGAGTGGTTTCAACAATGAGCATTTTACTTCTCACAGTTCCGGCTTCCTGGGGCAGGGGCGCGGCCTTCTTGCTGCGTGCTTGTGCAGAGACACTCTCTCTTCCTCCTCCTAGAAGGGGCTCACCCCAGCCTTCCAGCCTGTTCCAGAGCAGGACAAGGGGTATAGGGCCCGCGCTGTGACAAGCAGCCCCTGACCTCCACCTCCCAGCGCGGCTGCCCCCTTTCTGCAAAGTCCCAGGAGGGCCCTTCCTCTCGCCACTCTGCACATCTAATCGGGGTCTTGAACTAGGTGGTGGCCGTGGCCTGGTCCTGGGGTTTATGGCTGGCACCTCGGGCCTCCTGGCTGCAGATCAGGGCAGGTGCGGTAGCCTGGCGAGTCCCACCTCCCTGCCCACCCCCTCGGGCCTGGCACACCCCCAATCTGTATGCGGCTCACACCTGGGAGCCTGGGAAGGAGGCCTGGGTGCAGAGGAGTGAGGAGACGCAGACTTACCCTGTAGGGATTCAAACTCTTCTGCTGGTGATGAGCCTGTGGGCTGTGCCTTCCTGGAAACATCCTTCAGTGTCTGCTTTCCTCTCTTCCCCTCAGGGCTTTGGAGGGGCTCCCCTGCTCCATTTCCCGCCTGCCAATGCAGCCTTTCACGATGGTCCATTTTGACTTCTGTTCCCCATTTCCAGGGGAGCAGGTGGCCGGAGATCTGAATATGTTCTGGGATGTGTGTGTGTGCGCGCGTGTGCGCGCTTGGCCAGGCCTGCCTTCCCAGTGTGGGGGTCCATGCAGTGCCGCGGGGGAGGGCCGGCCACCCCGCACTGCCCTCTGACCTTCCTGTCGTGTGTCCTCCACAGCCTGCGATTGCCACCCCGTGGGCGCGGCCGGCAAGACCTGCAATCAGACGACGGGCCAGTGTCCCTGCAAGGACGGCGTGACCGGCATCACATGCAACCGCTGTGCCAAGGGCTACCAGCAGAGCCGCTCTCCCATCGCCCCCTGCATAAGTACGTGCCCCCTCCTCCTCCGGGCTCCGGGCTCTGGCTGGGCTCCGTGTTTGTGGGCGGGGGGCGGGGGGTAGATCACCTTCCCTGAACCCTGCTGACATGCAGCTGCTTGAACGCTTTTCCACGGGGGACCCCGTGCGAGACTCCCCAAGCTGGGAGCTCAGCGAGGCGGCCTGCTCTTCTCCGTCCTGATAAAGACTGAATCACCCGCTTCCAGGGGGAAGCAAGCCCTGGACCTGGGGTGGCCTTGAGCCAGGGCTCGCCATGGCCGCTGTGGCGGGAATTCCAGGATCCCCAGGCCCTGGCAGATTGGGAGCAGAAGGGGCTGATGCTACAGGCTCCCATGCCTGGGCCCCCACGGCTCTTATGATGGACGGTGACTCCCCTTATAGTCCTGGGGGCCCCTTGGACCAGCTGCTAGCTCCCTAGTTGCTGGAACGAGAGCAGAGGATGGGCAAGATGGCAAGGGCCACTCAGGGGCCCTGGCTCGGAACAGACTTCATGTTTTATAACCGGTAGGACTCTCCCAGGTGTTATGAGCGGACACTTAGTCTCGGTTGGAAGGCAAGCCTGGCTGGGAGCCGGCCCCTGGCCTTGGCCCTCCTCACTCCTTGTGCAAGGCTGACCTAACCCGGAAGGGCGAGCAGAAAAGGGAGCGGATCCCAGCGAAGTAGGCAGACCCGAGGGTTGAGGTTGGCATCTCTAGAACAGGGGTTGGCCAGCCCAAGGATTTGACCCACCACCTGTTTTCGTGGGGCTCAGTGTTTTCTTTTAATAATTCTTTAACGATGGAAACCAAAGTCAGAAGGCGAATATTTTATGACACGTGGGATGCGTGCGATGAGAAGTGGCGTGTCTGTAAACTTACACAGGGACGCAGGCATGCCCGCTGCGTATGCGCTATCTGTGGCTGCGTGGAGCCCTAGCGAAGCTGAGTGGCTACAACAGAGGCCTGTGGCCCGCAGAGCTGGCCACATTCCCCAGCTGGCTCTTCCTAGGAGAGTCCGCTGGCCCACGGCCGTCACAGGGGTCCAGTCGCGGCGGATAACCCAAATCCCAGCCCCTTGGGAAATCGAGCTCCGCATCCCTCCGGCACAAGCCCCTTGACACGGTTTTCCCGACCGCCTCTATGCGTCAGAGTCTCACAGTCTGCAGAAACCCTTCTCTTCCATCTATCCAAAAAGCTGCAAAGTGGACATTTCTAGAAAGCCGGGAGGAAACCCAGCACTGCCCCCAGGGATTGTGAAAACATAAGAAAAACAAATGGAGCTCAGAAGTGGCTGGTACCTCCACTTCAGAGCCTCCGGGGGGTAGGGGAGGACTTTGACGTGGAGCCGGTGGCCCACAGTCGGGGACAGAGACCTGGGGAATCCGGATTTCTCAGTCTATGACCTGCTCTGGCAGAGGCCAGGTGTAGATCTGGCTGTCCGCCCTGGGGTTTCTGGGAGCTCCAGCTACAGGCGCTCACGCTGTGTTACCAGGGAATAGGAGGGTGGGGGTGGGGCTCCTGCCTGTCGGGTCACAGCTCTGGGAGACAGGCAGGAGTGGCCCCCCGAATGGAGGGCTGGGTCTCAGGCATGCCCCCCAGGCCCCAGCCAGCAGTTGTCTCCACCCACCAAGCCTCAGGACGCGGCTAATCTGTCTGGAGGATTCTGGGGGATTCGTGGCCAGAGTCTGGGGGATTCATGGAGACCCCTGGGACCCCCCTGTTCTTGGGGTCTGGCCCCGGAGGAGACAAGTCCCTCCGCTTGGGGACTTTTCCAGAGACTGGCAGGACCTCTTCACCTTTCCTGAGCACGGGGCGGAGTCAGGGGCTGGTAGGAAAGAATTGGCTTTCCAGGTGGAAAGGGAACGACCCCAATAAAGCACATGCTTCTCGCAGGTCCTTGGGTTGTCCTTAGTCTTCGGGCCACCGAGAACAGCGTGAGCCTGTGGGAACCTGGGCCAGGGGTGCAGACCCCTCTCCATACGTGAGGTGCCTCCCAGGGCCCTCGCATGCCACCCCTGCCACGGAAGGCCTCCCTGCCCGCCAGGGAGGTCAGAAAGAAACAGCCATGTCGTGTGGGAGGTCAGCCCTCCACGCTGTGGGGCCGCCCCACCTGCTCCCCACTCCTGTCCTTGCCACTTGGAGGTACAGTACTCAGAGGAGAGGCAAAGCCACGTTCCGGGGCCCCCTGCCGGCTTCCTCCACCTCCCCTACCCTCCCGCTCTGGAGCTGAGGAGTGGGGAAGGGAGGAGGGCCCGGGGAGGAGTCTGCGTCCTGCTCATCCTCTTCTAAGGTCAAAAATAACGTCTCCTTCCCTCGTTGTCTCTTCCTCCCACCCTGAACCTCACAGAGATCCCTGTGGCACCACCAACCACGGCCGCCAGCAGCGTGGAGGAGCCGGAAGGTAAGCGTGTCCCTCTTTGCCAGTGCGGACGGCAGGGTTGGGAGGAATCAGAGCTACAGGACTCCCGAGAGCCACCGTCGGGGCGCTGCTGGGTGCATGTGGTACCCCCCAGGCTGGATCGAGGAGGAGGAGCCACAGGGCATTTTCCCAGTGATGCCCCCTCTAGGAATAAAAGGGAGGGGGCTTCCTTCTCGCCCCGGCATGAGACCCTTAGAGCTGCACCCCTCCCACTCATCCCCTGAGGGCAGCAAGGTGCCTGTGTCCCCCTTACCGTCCAAGCTGGGGCGTGTACTCCTTTCTGGGGCTGCCGAGAAGGCAGGAGGTGGGGAGGGGATAAAAAGGCATCTTGAGCACAGGGGTCCACGAACAGGATTCGGGGTGGGGGTGCAGGGAACCGGGACAGGAAGAGCATCGCACCCTCACCGCCCCTCACTTCTGCCCGAAATCAGCATCTTTCCGTGGGCCGCCAGCCCCCCGCAGGGTGGGGGCGGGGGGGGCAGCCCACGGAAGTCACAGCGAATTTCACCCCACACACGAGTCGGTGCAGAGATCGTGAAAATCTGCGTGTGTTTGCTGGCGCTTTGCTTCAGAATGATGGAAGTCGCCGGGCCTGCTGCTGGATCCTGATTTATAATCGTTAATAAAGAAGTGTCTGTATTACGTAACTGTATCGTAGAGCTGGATTGTGGGGAAAATATTCGGATAGGTATAGAGTTTAGTGTGATTCGTTTCCTTTGTACTCCGGTGTGTGTTATTTGAGCATTTAGAATTACTGCTGGGAGAAAGGGCCCCCGGGCATCCCCGGGTCCTTGGTACAGGAGGGGTTCTGCAGCCCAGGCTCTCGGTACAAAGAGGGCTCAGGGCCTAGCTGAACGGGGCTGCCTGGTGGAGAGCAGGCCAGGCCTGCCATGAGGTCAACAGCCCGCAGCTAGGAAGGGACAGAGTCCCTGAGGCCACACCATAGAAAACCACCGAGATCCGTGTCTTGGGTTGTTGGGCAATCTGAAGTCCCCTTTGGTTGAGCTGCAGGGGACCCTTCCAGGAGAAACAGCGGTGGCAAGGCCTTGTAGAGAAGTAGGTTCCCCCAGTACCTGGGAGGCGGGACGAGGGGGCTCTTTCTGTAAAGACATAATTCAGAGGAACCTCCCCGTTCGTCCAGCTCTGGGTCGGTGGGGGAGGGGCAGTTTGGAAGTTGGAAGACATTTCCCTCCAGCGGATGCCAGCTTCCTCCTTGTGACATGGGTCACGGGAGGACTCACCCGGGCACGGTCCTCCTCAGGGCGGTGTGCGCAGCTGGGCCAAGGCCAAGGTGGGTCCCGGCCTGTCTGTCTGTCTGTCTGTCTCTCTCTCTCTCCCTGCTTCTGCAACTTGACCTGAAAACGGGCAGCCATCTCGGCTGGGCTGGGAAAAGTCTCCTGCACAACTAACTACTTAGAAACACTTGCAACCTCCTGTGGAGTGGGGAGGTGGGCAGGTGTGATGCTTGTCCCGGTGCCCGTGGCTGTGGCCCGAGCCTTTCTGACCTTCTCCGGGGTGCTTCCAGGTGCCCGGAATCTGTGGTGCTCCCTCCGGGGAGCCGAGGCTACTCCCAGGCCCGGAGCACCGGACTCTGGAGCTGGCCACCGCCACACAGAGCCCAGCTCGCCTGTCTCGGCAGGCCAGGGCGTCCTGGGCAGGAGGCCAGGGGGCCCCCTGTGAAGCGGGGCTGGGAGCTCATACTTCCAAGCCTGTCGATTCTTGCAATGTTTGAATAGGGAAGCCCTCCATGCCAGGCTGCCTGAGAAAAGCTTGTTTACTTTTGCCTGCGTAATGGAGGAGAATTAATAAACGGAGAATTTGTCCTGAAAGCTGATGGACATAACCTCGGCCTGAACCCATTCCCCTCGAAGGGCCAGCTCACTCAGCGAACGCTGTCCACCTGCTCACAGAGCTGGCTGGGACCCTCTCTGGGGACAGGGAGGTGAGGAACGCCTTGCCTGTGGGAGGTCTGGGGGCCCCGGTGGGGGGTGGGGACCAGAAACGGGTAGGAAGGGGATCGGGACCACCCACCCCATACCCACCTGCTTATGGTCGCAGAAACCTCCACCTCCCAGGCCTAAAAGAAAGCCACCTGACTTCGCCGGCCCTCCGTCAGCTCCGAGGCGATTGTCAGTCTGCACGTTTGTTTGGTTCAGCGGAAGGAGTGTGGTTTGGAGCTGGGCGCGATCTGGGGTTGGTTCTCCACTGGTGTGAGGCCTTGGGCAGTGACAGGCTTTGTCCACAGTCCCTTACAGAGCTCTCCGTGGGCGGGAGCGTCCGGGGAAATTGTTGACGGCTGGCAGGGGCAGGCCTGGTTTGTAGCATCTGCTGCGTTCCCTGGTGTAAACACTCTACCTGTGGCCAGTGTCCTCCCCGCCCCCAAGCTGGGGCCCTGCGAGGCGCCTCCTGCCACTTGCTCTGAGGTGAGGCATGGGCCTGGTCAGCCAGCCTTCCGGGGGGTCTGGAGAGAACCCCGGGGAGCCCACCAGCTGTAGGAAGGACCTCACCCACCAGTGCTCCCAGGCATGGGTGCCGGGCTGGGGGTGACCTTACACGTGTCCCCTTTGGTAGCCTCTCAGCCCTGCCATCTTTTTCATGGAAGATCGGCCTATATACACCTGCAGCCTGGATTAGCTTGGCGCTCTCTCATTTTTGGCTTTCGTTTTGCAAGAGAAGGAAATAGGTTGGGTCCTGATAACACAGGCCAGGTTGCTGGGGGGCCGGGACAGTGGGGAGGAAAAAGTACTGGCTAAATCTGGAGTCCTGGGGCCTGAGTTCTGCCTGGTCTGGTTTCCTGAGACAGTTGTGTGTCCCCCCAACCCCTGGCCCATTATCCACTCGGGATACGTTCCAAGACCCCCAGTGGATGCTTGAAACCATGGATAATACGGAACCCTGTGCATACTATGTTTTTGCTCATACGTGCCTACCTATGCAGGGCTTAATGTATCAGGCACAGAGAGAGATGAACAGTAACTCGTAATAAAATAGAACAGTTATAGCAAGAGACTGTAGTAAAAGTTACGGGAATGAGGTCTCTCGCTCAACGCATCTTACTGTCCGGTGCTCGCCCGTCTTCTGGTGAGGAAGCGACGGGGACATGCGCACGTGGGGCAGTGAAGAAGGTGAGTCGAGCCGAGCTGAGCTCTCCTGCCCGCTCACCTGCTCACGAGGGGAGGCGAGACTTATGGGCATGAGGACAGGTGGGGAGGGTCAGCTTGCTGGAGGTCTCTTGAGAGGACCTTGGGAGGGAACAGGTGGTGCTGCCTGGGGTGGGACTGCCGGGATCCCAGCTTGAAGGGACTGCTGGGGGGTCCTCGTCACAGCCTTCCCAGCAGCTGCTGTTAGACCCCTAGCTTAGCGGGGAGTTGAAAACTGGAAGTCAGTTAAAGGTCAAGTGCTTGCCTTCATCATAGCTGAGAGGTGGAGACACCCCAGATGTCCATCGCTGCACAAATGGGTAAACGCGGTATGGCCTGTCCGTATGGGGCACTAGCGTTTGGTCACAAAAAGGAATGAGGTACCCATACACACAAGGTTTGCAGAGTGAGAGAAGCCGCGTAGTGCATGATTCCATTTATATGAAATGCCCAGAATGAGCAAATCTGGACACCAGAAGTAAGATTAGTGGTTGCCAGGGACTGGGAGGTGGGAGGAGTGGCAAGTGATGTGTGATGGATACGGGCTCTCCTTTTTGGAGGTGGCAGGAAGGTTCTGGAACCAAACCAGGGGGGTGGGTCATGTTGTGAATGTGCTTAATGCCACTGAATTGCCTCATTGAAAAAGGGTCAAAAATGGTAAATTTTAGGTGTATTTTACTGTACTTAAAAAAGGTCACATGCTTAAGATCAAGGGTCCAAGAGAGATGTGAATGTGGTTGGCTTGGGGAGAGCTGAGTGGAGAGCAGGAGCCATGGGGACAGGGGGCTGGGGCACAAGCAGCAATGGGGGACATGTTTGCCCTCCTGTCCCTTTGATCACCTGGAGAATTTAGAGGCCATGTGTATCTTCGAGCACCTTCTCACGTCATCTCCACATAGGAGTGGCTCAGACAGCCTCTGTGCCTTCCAGGTGTTTAGCAGGGATCATGTTCCCTCCCGTTATGTAAAAAAAAGTCTGGCCACACAGCCTGCATCCTCTTTCTCCTTTTGGGGGTCATTGGGTTTCCTGAGCCTTCAGTACTCCTGCTGTAGGAGAAAGGGACCTGTGGGTCCACGCAGGGGTTGCTGCTGGCAGGAGCTGGGGTCCCTGACCATGTAGGCAGCCGATGCCACTTATAAGAACAGAGTCTGTTAATGGACTGAAATCCTGGTTTTCAAAGGTGGTATGAAATGGGACATTAGCCCGTCCAGGTTCAGCTATTTTGGTCATGACCATCGGATAAGTGTGACCCCCAGGAGAGGTTGGACCAGACGTGCGATGAAAGATAAATAGATTCTGGCTCAGCAAAGAAGGGGAAGGAGATGACATTCACGGAACGCTTACTCTGTGCTAGGCACTCTTCTCAGTTATTAGCTGTTAATCATCCATCCCGCCCCCCCGCAGATGAGGTGGGCACTGTTATTAGCCCCCAAGTTGCCCAGGAGAGACTGAGTCACAGAGAGATCCAACAGGACCCATAGACAGTGCAGCCGGGATCCCAGGCAAAGTCTCCTGGCCTCGGAGTTAACCTCCATGTCATTCTGTCTCCAGGGAGCTATGCTGGTTGGCCAGTTTAGGGTGATTTTTAAATATATCTTCTGGACCATGTGGTAGCATTCTACCAAGAGAAAAGACGAACCAGTGCATCTGTCAGGACCGAAAACCAAGGTAGAGACAGAAGGGCAGCTGGTTAAAAGCTTCTATGTTTTTGCAAGTGTCTGTTATAGTGGCTCTTGGGGGTGTGTTGGGGGTGTGGTCCATCAGCATGTGGGGCTTGCATGGCTGAGGCCACAGGTTCCGGGCGTGGAGGGCCATGCAGAGCTCTGTCTTTTTGGTCACAAG